ATTACAAAAATAAAGCAACCAAATATTGAATTAGCACAAATACTTTAACTCTCTTCTGATTTACTTTTCACATATCCCTGTTCCACACATTGGCAGTTATCTCCCAGCAGGACTAACAGCAGCAGCAATAACGCTATGAAGTCAGTAGATGGCTGTAGAAAAGTATGTTGAACACTCTTGTGTTAGAGTAATAAGATTGGGGAAGGCCTTGACCTGACTGGATGCTGCTTTTATCTGAAGTACATTTAAAGAGATAAAGGGGAAGCAGGGTGCAGTACATGCTCCTTTCTTTTCTGTAGGAGCTTTGCTTTGAGTTTAAGCAATTCTCAAATGCAGGACTTGTGAACTGAGTCCCTTAGCAAGGAAAGGTAATAATGGCTTGAGTGCCACTGGAGTCACCTGTCTTACTCTGATTTTTTTTTCCTCAAGACGTCTTAGAAATCTGCCTATAAATTCCTACAGAGGGGGCTTTTGTAAATCCCATATTAGCTATCAGGAAGTGGTATATCCCTGTTTGTTTATTTATTTATTTTTTTGCTTTCACCAATGTAGTTGGCTGCCTTTAGTGCACGGACCTGCTCATTAAACAGACACACCAAGAATTGTTACCTAAGCAGGCTTGACAGTAAAGAAAGGACAGGCAGAGTTAGGGAGAAAAAGGGAAGAAAAAAAGACAGCCTGAAGCAAGTCACTTCACACGCAGAAAGAGCCACTGAACGAATGCTATTCTCATAAACAAACAAAAAATATCTTGTATAAGAAAAGAAGAGAACTGTGAGGACTTGACAGAAAAAGGCAAGATTTTCTACCCACTGGTTTCAGTTTTCCTTCCAGACATACTTGGTGAAGTAAGGAGACTTCTGTTTGCTGACAGAGCCCTTGATTTCTCTTTCAACATGATGATGTATTTGTGGGTAGGTAGTGTCTCTCTCCATGTCAATCTTTTATTAATAAATTGACTTCGGAACTATAGATTTTAGCTTATAATAATAGCATATTTTGTGATATGTAAAGGTGTCTATGCTGCAGGATAGCCTAGCACAGCTAGTGTACAGTACATGTGCTTGCATTACCAATGGGAGTTTAAACAATCTGGTTCATTAACGTTAAGCTGCATTTTATTTTCAGGGTTTTCAGGATGTGTCGTAGTGCACTGCTTTCTTTTCCTTGCTTTAAAAAATGTTATAATTGTGTCTCTAAGATTCACTGTGCGTTTCAGTCATGAAACGAATGCTGCATCACTTCTGACTGTACAGAATTTGCTTTCTTTTTAAATAATGAAGCAATCTTAATATCCTTAAAACTTCTGAATTATGTTACTCAATCTAGATGTGTATGTAATACTTTTTACAATATTTCTTAGCTTGTGAAGTATGTGGCAATTGATGGATTTGTTCAAGTCGTTTTTCATTCAGCATTGTTCTGATTCCTTGCAGCAAAATCTGTTCACCTGAGGAACTAAAAAAGGCAGAGCTGTAACATACATATTGTCAATTAGTGAGCATATTAACTTGTTAGTTCATCTAGGTGTAGACCCAAATAAATTATTCACTAAAAATGTTAGTGAAAAAGAATGTATAATTTATATATTTAGAGAAATACATATATATTTCTCTAATCTTCAAAGCATTAGCATCTTCTAGGGAAATGCTTTAAATGAACCCATTTGACAACCTTTATTTTTTTAAATTGAAAATGTATTGAAAAATAGAAAGGGGCTCACTACTTATCTGGGCCGCCCATTCAAAATAGACTTATGTGCAGGTGACACTCTTCAGAGATTTTATTAGTAAATCACTGTCTGCTTAAATTGCTTGTGGTTTCTGCTGTAAGTTCCCTTTGGCAGCTTCTTCTAATTTCTGTTGACTCTGAAGTATTATAAGAACTTCTGTGGGCTATGCAAAAGGCACTGTATGCTGACTTTTAAGTTACTTATTTCAGTTCTTTGACCTGTTATCTTTTCAAGAGCTTCACCAATCAGTGAAGCTTATGATATGAGTTCCTTTTTTTCAGCATGCTGTAGCACAATAAGTTAGTTTAGTTTTCACAAGCGATACCTATTCATGTACTTCAGCAGCGAGAGGTATCACAGACTACTGTCCATTTATTCTTTAACCCTTTACCATGATTCTTAGTTTTATTGTAACTGTATAACCATTAATTCAAATTTGTAATTTCGTATACTTAAGTATGTTAATATAAAATCTGAGCTGTGGCTATGACAACCTGGTTTTTGGTAATATTTTAAATATTTTTTGTCTTTGTGTTTAATACATTAGCATGTAAGTGATCGAAAATACACAATAAATATTTGAGGATGATGCACATAATTTTGAATGGGAGGGGCAAATTATGAGCATATGTGGTACTATATTTTTGTTACTTTTATTCAAGCTGTTTAATAGGAAACACTATTTTAGTTAAGGCCTTAGTCTTTTCTTTTTTTTTTTCTTTTTTTGGAGATCATATGTATCCTTGTAAATGGGAAAAGTTATATCCGTAAGTTTAATTACAGGTACCTATTCAGTCTTTTATTATCTTTAGTGTTGATAACTAGTGTAATTCGTATTATTTATTAATTTTCCTAGCTATGCCTGTGTGTTATCACCCAAAGCACAAGAATAAGCAGTTTCTGGTGGTTTGCCCTCTTGGGTTCTAAAAGCTTACTGACCTGTTTTCTTAGTAATTAATCTTTGACCTTTAAAAGCCCACTCCTTCAATTTTTATTTTCTTCTTTTTGACTTATATTTTATGGTACTTCTTATTTTTATTATCAGCATGTATCAACCAAAAGAATGTTTATATCCTTTTTTTGGTACTACTATACCTGGGTATTAAACACTATTTCCATTTTTAATTTGTCTTTACTAGTATACACGATTTAACTAAAACCTCCAAATCAGATTAGTTGGAGGCATGCTGAGAATGAAAAGGTTTTATTATATTTAAATACTCCTGTTTCTTTAGGTTCTGGAAATTAGGAAGGATTTGTTCAGAAAAGATTTTATTTTTTCTTAATAGCAGCAATTTTGTACCTCCAACATATGTATGTGTGTGTGTGCGCGACAGAAAGAGAGTGAAAGAGAGAGGGGCAATTGGTAAATGAGCTTTTGACACACAATATGTATACAGGTGCAATGTATACATATAACGAAGTATGAAAGGCTTCCCACTGGCACTACTTCAGCATTAATTGCAACAATGTAATTAAGTAAAAGCCAGTCAGTATAATATTAATATAACTTTTGTGAGAAGTGAGTCTTTTTCATTTTTTGTATGTGTAATATATATTATTTTGCCTTTTCTGACCAATGTAGATATGGGCCACATGATCCACCACTTAATTTGACAGTTCTACTATGTTCTTTTACTCTGTGTGAAATATTAAACTGGGTATAAAATGAGAAAGGCAATTTGTATTTTCATATTCTGTACTGTTTTGCTAATTAGTGTCCTGGAATCATTGTTTTCAGTTTTAGTATTGACAGTTTCTTTCTTGGTTTCTGTATAGCGAGCAAACTGTGCATCAGCCCCCTTAATGATATCTAACAATTTCCTTGTGGTGCAGTTTACATCTAGAGCTATTCGGTGTGTTGAATGTAATATTCCTATTTTTTGTCTTTTTTCCAAACAAAAATGTGTTTTGAAAGATTCCAAAAAGTGGAGAGAGACATTGGCCTGTCAACCCTGATGAATGAAACCCTTTATCCACAGTACAAACAACCCAGTGATACTTGTGCTCCCACCCTAAGGAGAAAGGAGCACCTCTGGTGAAGCGAATGAAATTCAGTTTCCATGCCTATTAAACCTTATACCCTTTGCTGAGACAGCTTTTGCAAGTGTGGCATTTATGATATGGACACATGTGCTATAAGAACTTGACTGCATCTACCAGCCAATTTCACACTGGCTATCAATTCTTAAGGATTTTTAATCACTAATGACTGGGACTGGATTAGAACAGGCACCAAGTCAAAACAATGTACATGCTTTTAACTAGACCCCTGAACCCAATGCAATACAATATGTTCATTTATTCAGGTAGTAGACCATTACACTGATGATAAAAGGATTTCCTGACAAGCTATGATGTAAGTATCACAATGCTGTACAGTTAATGCTTGGTGGATACTTTTAGAGAGACCAAAACAAAGACTTTCTCACCTTTCCCCGAAATAATTAATGTAAATTATTTTATGTAGAATGCTAAGAGGCTGTTGTCCACAGAAACATCGTAAGTGTCTGACTTCTCAATTGGAAATTGAAATGTCTAAATGTCAGTAAGTTTTGAGCTTTCTGTCCAATAAGTGGGAGAGGAGGTTACCTTGCATCTTACATTTTTCAGTACTTTGCAAGACTGATCATTCAATATCCATTTCCCATACTGCCTCTACACTTCATGTCTCATAGGTAAGCATTGCTTTTCAATAATTATTCAATATCATGAAAATATTCTTTTACAAGAAAAATAGTCCTGGCATAATGTATTTTTTTCTTTCAGGAATTTGAATTGTGTCATCACTATGTCTTAGTCATTTTAAATATTTTGAGTTGGAAGACAGTGTTGAATAAAAATATGAAGTCATGTGATATCAAATATTATTGTAAAAATATTCAGGATAAAATAATTTTAAAAAATACCAGTGACCAACATGTATTCCTACACATATTTTCTATTAATTTCATGCTAAAGTTCCATGAAATACATGGCAATTGGTTTTTTGGGGGGGGAGGGGAGGGTTTGTTTTGTTTTGTTTTTTAGTCTTTGGTCGCTACTTACTGAAACACATGGCACAGTTTCCTCAATCTGTTACTCTCCTGAAAAATTGCATTGGCATTCATTTTTTTTACATAGAGCTGTTCATAAGGATATTTTGTATACACGTAGAGGAGATTTTTACTTGGAGCTTTGGAGAAATATTTGATCAAATGAGCTAGGTTTGAAAGCATTTCAGCAGATTAAATTTGTTCTTGCCCAAACTGGTAGTTCACAGACATAAAGGAAGAAACTGAAGTGTGTGTGTGTGCGCGCACGTGTTCTTGTTGTCCTTTGTGGGTGAATGCAACCACAACCACCAAGGAGGAGGAAGAAGAGAGAAAAAAATGGGAAAGAAACAGGGAGGGAGAAAAGAGAAGAGGAGAAAAAAAGGAAAAAGGAGAAAAGAGAGAGAGGAAAGAAAAAGAAGAGGGTTGGAGGCTAAGTTGCATGGGTATGAAGGTGATTTATAAGTCCAAACTTTGTCTTGAATAATCTACTGCAGCAGGGTCAGGAAAGCAATGAGGACTGGGTATGAGAGGTTTTCATTTGCTTGGCCATACATTTCTTCATTGCTTCTGCCGTACGTTGTTGCTCGAAGGCCAGTGCTCCATTCTGGATTAATGACCTCCAAGATGGATGGTCACGAGTGATTTGCTCACATGACCCCAGGTCAACACTGAAACTCTTTAGGGACATCTTTAGGGTGTCCTTGTACCACTTTATTTTGTGCTCTGCAAGAACCTACTCCATTTGACAGTTTGCCATAGAAGATTTTATTCAGTAGGTGAGTGTCGGGCATTTTTGAAAGGTGGCCGGCACATCTTAGCAGTGCCAGTTTCAGTAGAGTGTGAATACTGGGGAGAACTGATCTTTCAAGCGCCATGGCCTCTGGAATCTTGTCCTGCCGCTTGATCTTTAGTATCTTTTGCAGGCAGCACAGGTGGAAGTGGTTTAGTTTCTTGATATAATGCTGGTAGATGATCCAGCTTCCACAGGTGTAGAGGAGGGGCAGAAGAATTATGGCTTGTATACCTTCAATTTCATCAACATTCCCATTCCTCTGTGGTCCCAGACTGATTTATGGAATCTGCCAAAGGCCACGCTAGCTTTTGCTAGTCTCGTGTTGACTTGGTCATCAATGTGGACAGCACAGGA